CCCCTGCCACCCACCCCTGCCACCGCCCCTGCCACCGCCCCTGCCACCCACCCCTGCCACCGCCCCTGCCACCCGCCCCTGCCCCCGCCCACTCACTGCGGCTGCCCCCGCCCACTCACCGCCCCTGCCCCCGCCCACTCACTGCGGCTGCCGCAGGAAGTTGTACTGGCACATGATGGTGAGGAAGAAGCCGACGAAGCCCTCCACCGTCATGGCCACCAGCCCACGGGTGACGATGTCCCACTCGAATGGGGATTTCATCTTGTCAAACTGGCCTGTGGGACAGCCGGCTCAGGGCCTGTGCTGGGGGGGGGGGGCCTCCAGGAGCCCCACAGCCACCCCTGCACCTGGAGCTGCCGAGGCTCCTCTCCTAGCCCACCGTGCACTGCTGGCCGGAGGGCTCTGTGCCGCCCACCCACCCCGCACCGGCACACACCAATCTTGGCATAGTACTCGTTGATGTACTCGTTGTACGCCATCTCCATGAGCCCGTGACCCAGATTGTAATTGGGGAAGATGAGGAAGCAGCTTTTCAGGTAGCTGTTGACGACCTTCAGGTCCTGGAGGGTGGCAGGGTGTCAGGCACCCAGCCTGGGTCACGGCCCGCCCACCCTGCCCCTGCCCCCACCCACCGCCACCTTGTCATGCTCGAAGAGCTGCAACAGGAAGGTGGCCACAGTGGCCGTGATGCCGATGAAGAGATTGATGACGATGAGGAAGACGTAGGCAGAGCTGGGCACCTCGAACCAGAAGGAGGCCGGGTACATGATGGGTGTGATGGACCACCTGGGGGCGGGCGGCAGTCACTGGGCTGCCCTGGCCCTGGCCTGCCCCACGCCCCGTGCCCACCCCTTACCCATAAAGCAGGAAGAGGGAGAGCACAGCTGGGAAGTTGGTGGGTGACGTGTAGGCCGGCAGGTCGAACACAAACAGGATGATGACGCAGCAGGTGGCTGGGACAAGGTAGTTGAGCTGCAAGAACGGGAGTCGCTGGTGGGGGCGTGGGGCTGGGAGGGGAGCGGGGAGGGGGGCTGGTGTGTGAGGGGGCAGGGGACATGGGGTAAGGGGTGGGAGCCCGGCTCGAGTGGGAAGGCTCGAGTGCCTGGCTGGGGGGGGGGATGGGAACAGAAGAGGGTGGGGCATGGCAAG